GCTGAAGTCAGATGCTTAACCGATTGAGCCACCCAGGTGCCCCTAATTAAAAAAAAATTTAATGTTTATTTTTGAGAGAGAGAGAGTGAGAGGGGGAGGGGCAGAGAGAGGGGGGAGACACAGAATCAGAAGCGGGCTCCAGGCTCCGAGCTGTCAGCACAGAGCCCGATGTGGGGCTCAGACCCATGAACTGCGAGATCATGACCTGAGCCGAACTTGGACACTCAACTGACTGAGCCACCTAGGCGCCCCTGGAGATGTTCGTCTTAATCATTTGATCGAGATGGTGTCTGCTCAGTGTCCCCCCTACAGAGCGACTCTCCCGTGCAATTAGTACCTTGTAAGGGGATACTTTGTGCCGTGTAGGTAAATGTGGTCAAGCTTGGCCCTTTTTGTTCCTGTCTGTGGGGACTCCTGGTGTCCTGTGTTATGCTATGTAATCTGTTGTTCTTTCTTTGGATTTCCAAATGGCCCCCGACCTGGCCAGTGGAGCTTGTTCAGGCTGGCGTCCGTGTTCCTTTGCTGTGACCCCACAATGCTGTGCTGGCCTCACGGCCCAAGATTTGTTTCTAGGCGCATCTGCCTGCTGGTCCTGTTCCAGTCATGGGAGCGGCCGTGTCTCCCGGTCTCGGTTCCTTTGAGTGCAGAATGCTATTTAGAAGTCAAGCCCCAGACGCTAGATGTCATGTAGACGCCGCCTCTCTCCACTCACGCTCACGTTCCCACCCGGCACCCTGGGCCATGCCGCCTCTCTGCGGGCACCTCCCCCTACTTGGATCCCCTCCCGACCCCCGGGGTAGAGACCCTCGTTGCCTCCTTGGGCGGTGACACGTGGGTATGACTTCTTCCCCTCGCCAGCATGGATGCCCACCTCGTTTCTCCCCTCCCCTCCCCCACATCATTTAGGGAGACGGAAGAGAGAGACAAGCAGAAGCAGCCCAGACAGCACCCTGTTGGTCGCGATGCGTGCCCGCTTCCTGAAGCCAGGGTTCTGACCCAGTCCCTGGGTTCCTGCATCCGCCAGCTGGCCCTCGCGGGTGGCACACAGCTCCCGGCAGCCAGGGCCGTGCCCTCTTTGTCTTTACCCGCCCAGAGGCCAGCAGAGGCCCGGCCTGCGGTGAGCGCCCGGAACATGAATGAAGGGCTGCCCTGGGCTCTAATCCCCATTTTTGCAATGATCTTTCCAGTCCTATTCTGGGGATGAAAGGTCAGAGCCTGAGACTGGCCTCCCCCCACTCCGCCCGCCCCATCCCCGCCTGTCTCACTGGAGCCAGATGGGGAGGCAGACACAGCTCTGATCCCCTCCCCAACCTGAGTAGAGATTTCTGATCCAGCTGTCACAGCTCGCGGACACCAGGGGCCGAGGGAGAGGCAGGAAGAGTTGGCGGAGGAGTGACCGAGAAGATAAGGAGGCTGAGCCACCGCCACCGAGGGGGACGGGAAGGAGGGGGAGCCGACTTGAGCCTGGTGCCTGCCGAGCTGTCCCGTCCCTCCATGCAGGTCCCTGTGGGCCCCGCCTGCATCTTCCTGAGAAAAGGCATTGCAGAGAAACAGCGGGTGAGGCGGCACCACGCTTTTAACTGTCAGGCTTTCAGATGAGCAGCGACTCGGTGGGATTTCCCAGGTCGGGTGCGACGGCCCCAAGCCTGACCCTCGCGGTGTCCCAGATACGGGGGCGGCAACGGTGATTGGAAATTCTTAGCCGGGTTAGGAACCGGTCGTGGGGGGCACGGATCCTCCGGCCCCGCCGTAGCTGAACGCTGGTCCCCACAAAAGGGATTCTGAGCCTTGGGAGAAAGAATGGGGTGGGTGGGGTAAGAATCCAGGGGGTGTAGCGGGAAGAATTCGGACTCAGAACTCAGATCTCAGGCGCCCGCTGCATCTGACCTGCTGCACAGCCTGGAGGGAGTGATTTAAAGTCTCCCCGCCTTGGGAGCGGCTCTGCCCCTAGGAGCTGTGTGACCTCAGGCAGTTTCCTTAACCTCTCTGTTCCTCCGCTTCCTCTTTTATAAAGACGGGAATGCTGTTTATTTGGTCCTGCCCTGCACCGGGTGGTTCTGAGGTTTAAATGAAGGGACTGTGGACGTCTGGCCCAGAGCTGGCACTCTGAGCACGTTTGCTCTGATTCTAAGCCTCACTGTCTTCTCCTGGAAAAGGAGGGGACTGGATTCCATGGCATCCAAGGCCCCCTTTCAGCACAGTGGGATGGATGTCCGTTCAGGAAGGGCAGAGGGAGAGAGATCAAGATTCCAGGACAGGAGAGAGGAAATGCGAAGCGATGAGCGAGAGGGCGAGAAGCAAAGAGCCGTGGGTGGGAGGCAGGAGGTGAGCGAAGGAAGGGAAGGAAGGGGTGAGTGGCACCAGCAAGAACGGAGGAGAAACAGGAAAGGAGAGGGATCGCTCAGAGGAGGGAGGGGACGTGGTTGGAGAAGTGGACGCTGGATCCCTGACCCTCTCCAAATTCCCTCTCTGCATTCCTTTCCAGGAAAGACCGCTGGGACAGGATGAGATCGAAGGTAACCTCTGTCCCCAGAAGACACCCCATGGTCACCTGCCACTGAGCCGCTCTTTGTGCATCTCCGTGTAGACCCTTTCGTCCCACCTCCCTCTCCTCCCACTTAGCCACGATTTGTGGAACTTATGGTACTTTAGGCACCTCCCAAAGTGTTTAGAAGGCAAACCCATCCCCAAGTGTCTCGGAGATCCAGGAGTGACGCATGCATGAGTTTATTTTGAGAGAGAGAGAGAGAGAGAGAGAGAGAGAATCCCAAGCGGGCTCCATGCTGTCAGCGCAGAGCCTGGCATGGGTCTCGATCTCATGACCCGTGAGATCATGACCTGAGTAAGCCAAAATCAGGAGTCGGATGCTCAACCGACTGAGCCACTCAGGTGCCCCATATGCCTGACTTTTTTTTTTTTTTTTAATATTTATTTATTTTTGAGAGACAGAGAGAGGCAGAGCATGAGCAGGGGAGGGGGAGAGAGAGAAAGATACAGAATCCGAAGCGAGCTCCAGGCTCTGAGCTGTTTGTTAGCACAGAGCTCGACGCGGGGCTCGAACCCACGAACGGCAAGACCGTGATCTGAGCCGAAGTCGGAAACTCGACCGACTGAGCCACCCAGGCGCCCGTCCGTATGCATGACGTTTAAGGTGAATCAAAACCTATTGGTTTTTCTTCTGGTGGTTTTGAAGTTTCCCATAACTTCACCCCCAGAATCTGAGACTCCGGGGCCATCCCTTTGCGGTCTCACGAACCGATTCCACTTGCACGCTGACATCTCCATCCACATTTTGTATGTCACCCCTTTTCGAAATTTTGGTTTTCAAAGACGTGTTCCTCGACAAGTCTCTCGTGGGCACCTCCCTGATCGTTTCAGGGGATGCCAGTCTGCCCCATTGACTGTTTCAAGTCTCCCCAGCCAGTCTGCCCCATTCACCGTTTCAAGTCCCCCCCCAAAGTTCTTCTCTCTTCGCTTTCAGAGCTTCGGGAAGCGTTTCTTGAGTTCGACAAGGACCGAGATGGGTTCATCTCTTGTAAGGATTTGGGGAATCTCATGAGGACGATGGGCTACATGCCCACAGAGATGGAGCTGACTGAACTGGGCCAGCAAATCCGCATGAACCGTGAGGCCGGGGGTGGGCACAAGGACTGGGGCTGGGGGCGGGCTGGTGGGGGGAATCGGGAAGGATGTGGAGGCTGAGCGGCAGGTAAGGA